ATTTCGTATGGAAACGGGAAGGGCACCGCCTTCAGTATAATTTCAATTCAGAGACCCTTGAAAATCTGAAACAAATGAAATTTGCTATTTCTTACTCAAAATTGGACTATTTGCAAGATCTACTTTGCGCGGAGGTTTCGCGCATTGAGCGTAGGAATAAGCTGATTAAGCTTGCCGACTCATCAGATGGAGGTTGGGAGACTGTTCGCCAATATGACTGTAATGATCTTGCTGATGATTCTGGCGATGATCGGCGTATTTCCAGAGCGGAATCCAGAGCTATCAAGAAAATTGACAAAAAGAAATCAAAATCGTCAAGATATGCCCCATTTAAGTTTTCTAGACCGACAGCGACTGTCACGAGGCTACAGTTGGGGGCGGGGCTTATCCAGTGGGACCATCTCAAGGTCGTTCATTTCGCCCGAGACTTAGAAACGGCACGTGTTTTGCGTGCGGAGAACTCAGCCACTGGAGACGAGACTGTCCGTATGTCAACTCTAACACAGTCACGCCGACACGTCGACCGGGAAGCAAGACCTCAGTCTCAGAGTAAACAAGGTAAAGTTGAACTTACAAACGATTATTATGAATATGAGCGTGGAAATGCTGAAATCTTAGTGAGGGGTCGTCTAAGACGCTGCATACAGTTTGTGCGTGACATTGGTTCTACTCAATTTTTGATTGATGTAATTGTAAGTGGATACAAGATACCATTTTATTCTACTCCGACACCTATGGAATTAAAAAACAACATGTCGGCTATGCGGCATTCTGATTTTGTTTGTGAAGCTATTACAGATCTTGTGCGGAAAAATTTAGTGGAGGAATGTGAGGAGAGGCATCGTGTTGTAAATCCGTTGTCTGTGTCTATTGCTTCTTCTGGAAAGAAAAGATTAATTCTTGATTTGTTTGATTTGTTTGGTGAACAAGCATGTGTTTAAACTTTCAGTCAAATACGAAGACTGGAAAACCGCTCTTATGTAAATCAATGCTGGTGATTGGTTAGTTAAATACGATATACATTCCGCGTACCATCATATTGAAATGCATACTCCTCATACAACTTTTCTCGGCTTTTCATGGATTTGGCCATGGGGCAGGAGGTATTACAAGTTTGTGGTTTTACCATTTGGTTTGTCATCTGCGCCCTATGTCCTTACAAAGGTAACTCGACAATTGGTAAAATGGTGGCGTTACCTTGGGTACAAAACGTTATGTTTCTTGATGATGGAATTATTGTTGAAAATTCTATGTCAACTTGTGCTGTTGTATCAGATAGGGTTAAGGATGACCTCATCAGTTCTGGATTTGTACCTAAAGTTGAAAAGTCTTTATGGACGTCTTCACAAAGTTTGGAATGGCTAGGATTTCACGTGAACACTTGACATTTTACTTTAGCTGTACCGGAAAGGAAGTTGGAGAAGCTTTTCATTTGCATCACATCTCTCTTAGTCCCTAACACTAGGTCTGTGTATGTTCGTGATGTATCTTCACTAGTTGGTCAAATTATTGCTATGTCACCAGTTGTTGGTTCACTTAGTCAACTTATGACGAGGTCACTCAGTATAGATTGTCTGACGGCTAACTCAAGGAATGACTGGATTGTTTTGTCAGGTCAAAGTAAGGAACAGTTAGTGTTCTGGCGGGACAATATTCAACATTTCAAGTCAAGATCGCTGTGTTCAGACAGTTCCCCTACCAGGGTTGTTTATAGCGATGCAAGTGGTGTAGGTTACGGTGGCTATTGTGTTCAGTTTGGTGGAAGGTTTGCACATGGTCAGTGGTCCGAAAGCGAAATGAATCAAAGTTCAACATGGCGGGAGTTGAAAGCTGTATCTATGGTACAGACAAGTTTTCTGTCTTTTCTTGGTTCTCACGCAGTCAAGTGGTTTACGGATAATACCAATGTATGTGCTATTATTAAAAAGGGTAGCATGAAGACACATTTACAAAATCTTGCATTGGTTATCTGGCAGTTGTGTTTGAGATCCTGTATACGTTTGGAAGTAGACTGGGTTCCCCGAGAACAAAATGATCAAGCCGATTTTCTGAGCAAGCTCACTGATAGAGATGACTGGGCAGTTGCAGACTATGTTTTTCATGTACTCGATGAAACATGGGGACCACATTCAATAGATCGTTTTGCTTCTTACTACAACAAGAAGATAAACCGTTTCGATTCTAGGTACTGGAACCCTAATTCTGAGAATGTGGATACTTTTACTTCAGATTGGAGTAATGAGGTGAACTGGATAGTACCACCAGTGTATCTGGTCTCGCGTGTGTTGTGCCATATGCGCAAATACAGAGCAAAGGGTACGTTGGTTGTACCTCAGTGGTACTCGGCAAGTTTCTGGCCTTTGCTATACAAACAAGGTACATTTTTCAAAGAAGTAAGAGACTTTGTTTATTTGCCGTCTTGCAAAGAAGCTTATGTTCCCAGTCGTATTGGGGGAGGTTTATTTGGTGAAACAGATTTAAACTTTTCAATGTTAGCGTTGAAAATCGATTTCGGTTATTGAAATGCTTTCTTCTGTTTCAGATGTGTTAGACAGTGTATATCATGATGTTATATCTACCCTCCCAGAAAGTTTAAAACCGAACGTACAAGGTTTGAGCATATTATTAAATGAGGCTAGATCTGCCTCTACAGTGAGATCATACAACTTGGGATTCAAGAGATTTTCTGATTGGGCAGATTCTCATGGTTTGCCGACTTTATTGCCAATTGCTCCTATGCACTGCGCACTTTATTTGTTATCTTTAATACAAAGTTGTGAAAGTATTTCTCCTGTCAATACAGCTTTTTACAGCATTCGATATGCTCATGTTCTTGTTGGGTTATGCAGTCCCACAGATAATACACTGGTACGAAATGTATTGGAGGCTCGTAAGCGGAGATTGGCTAAACCAGTACACAAAAAGGAACCGATAACAATATCGCAACTTAGTTGTATGGTATCGTCTCTGGAATGTGAGAAATGTTTAAAAGACAGCAGAGTTGCTGCAATGATTTTAGTTGCTTTTGCAGGTTTTCTCCGATCAGTTGAATTATTGCACATTGCACGTTCAGATATCATGTTTGTTTAACATTATATGTCTATATTTACTGAACAGTCCAAGACGGACGTGTACCGAGATGGTGCATGGGTAGTCATAGGTGTATCCGATTCACTGCTATGTCCTGTTATGCACTTACAACGTCATTTAACGATGGCAGAGATTGCCGAGGATTCTCAGGAATATGTGTTCAGAGCACTTAGTCCTGTTAATGGTAAATATGTGCTGAGGAAAGATAACAAGCCACTGACTTATACAAGACTCCGTGAAATATTTCGTCTAACTTTGTCCCCTTTTGTCAGTGATGTGTCAAGATATGGCCTCCACAGTTTGAGGTCGGGTGGTGCTACAGCGGCAGCAAACAATGGTGTACCTGACCGTCTTTTTAAGAGACACGGGCGCTGTAAGAGCGAGAATGCCAAAGATGGGTATATCAAAGACAGTGTTAAAGCCAGATTAAGTGTGACCAAATCATTGGGTTTGTAATATAAGATGTTTTCCTGTATTCCCTTTCTTTCTTTCTCATGCAGAGTAAATGCCTCGGCGTGTGCCACAGGGGAAGCCAGATTGTGTGTTTGTTGTTTATATCTGGCTTGACGAGGTTTTGGAAGAGAAATGAAATTTCATTCGGTTGAACAGAGTGAATTAGACTGAAATTGATTTCTCTTGAAGGTAAAGCCAGATATAAAGGGAGGTTATTCCCGGTAGAGGGCGCAACCGTGAGGGGTATATATAGGAATTGTAAAGCCCGGGTAGTTCAATCTCTCCTGTGGTGTCGCCGTTACAGTGCGGTCTGTTTATTTTATGTTTGTCCTGTGCGTTATGGTTATGAACATTTTCTGTTGTCAGGTGTTGGCAGTCTTGCTGCAAGACAAATGTTGTCACAGTGACGAGTATGGTTCTGAACCGCAAAGCATGGATGGTACCTGGTACATGCATGTATCTTACAGTAAGATGTTACAGTGTCGGTGACTGGCGTGGTTCTGAGATCATATGGATCAAGGCTAGTGACGCCACTGGTGTTTGTAAAAGGAAATTTCATGCAGAGTAAATGCCTCGGCGTGTGCCACAGGGGAAGCCACATTGTGTGTTTGTTGTTTATATCTGGCTTGACGAGGTTTTGGAAGAGAATGACTGTGGGTTTGAATCCCGGTTCGCCCCAATTATGTTTCTAGGTTTGTCAGCACCATACCCGTGCTCGTGGGTTTCACTGAAGTGGTAAACGTCTGAGACCTGCATCACTTCGGGCTTTCCTCCCACATTAAGCTGACACGCCGTGATATAACTTGAATACTGTTAAAAGCGGTGTTAAACCCAACTCACTCACTCACTGTATCTGTACATGTATCTCGCGATGAATGAATTAGGAATATAATCTGCAATATAATCAAAATAGAAGCTGTTTCTAGATAATGCTCACTGACGTATTGCCATCCAAAGGTCATCTCACACAAGGATCCTATCCTATATCATGGTTACTTAACGTCAGGCTTTCCACGCGCATGAAGCTGACAGGCCGAGTTATAACTGAATTACTGACCCGTGGAAATAGGTCGGGTAGAATAGGTCTTAAGAAGCCATTGCTTGCCGTAAAAGGCGACTATGCTTGTCGTAAGAGGCGACTAACGGGATCGGGTGGTTAAGTTCGCTGACTTAGTTGATGCATGTCACTGTGTCCCAATTGGGTGGATCGATGCTCATGATATCAATCACTGGATTGCCTGGTCCAGACTCGATTCTGTACAGACCGCGGTCATATAGCTGGAATATTGCTGGAGTGCGGCGTCAAATGACAAACAAACAAAACAGTTCTAGCTGCGTTAAACGTTAAACATATCCATCTGAACCCCACTACATGAAAGTCAATTTCAAAGTTGATACATTGTTATTATGTCTTCAATGGCACGTACTTCATTCTAATCTGTTCTAATTTTTTCTAATCTGTTTATTCAGTACATGAGTGGGCCAGCGGCCCATAGTACAATTCGGTTCACCAGACATGTATAAAAATACAACTGTGTACACCTAAATACACAACAGCAAGGCATTCATAGATAAAGAATATTACTTCTGCAAAAATGAATTCCTTAACTTAAAAGCGTGGTAAATATAACAAGCCAGACTTCTAATTGTTGACTGATGCAGAGACGACATAAGTATGTAAAATTGTTCTATTGATGGATTTACATAATATTTTTGAGGAATATATGTCACTCGGAGAGCATAATATTTTTCACAAACCAATACAAAATGGTATTCAGACTCAACATAGCCTGTTTTACAAACCATACATAACCTTCGCTGTCTTGGGATACCAAAATATCTCCCGGTTTCTATGTGGAGCGAGTGGGAGCTAGCTCTAAAACGTGCCAGTGCAACGCGAAACTTATTGATTGTAATAGCCGATAAATAAAATTCCCTGCTAAACCTAAATTTATAACAAAGATATGATGAATACTTGGGGCTATTTGTCAAAGCAAAATGCCAATCTTGTTCATAAGAGCATTTTAATCTTTGTATGAACTCGTCAATAAATGAAATAGAAATAACAAGATGCTGATTTTCCCATACATAGCCAAAGCCATAGGCGTACAAAAGTAATTTAACTCTAGAGGCCCAATTAGTCTTACCTGCTATGGCCTGCTGCACAAGCATATTGTAACTTTTTCGTGGATAACGCGAATCGGGCATCTTTAAAATCTTACACCAATAATTCAAGCATCTTTTGAAAGCGTAGATATACAAAGGGTATCTCCCACACTCTCCACGCACAACATGATTGGAAGTTGCTGACTTAACTCCTAAAATACGTTTACAAGCAAGTGTATGAACAACTTCAATCTCCTCGCAAAACGATAAAGATAAACCCCAAACTTCTGCATCGTAAAGAAGTACTGGCACAACTTTAGCATCACAAATTTTAAAGAAAATATTCATAGGAGTAGGTTTAATTAGCTGTAGGGACTTCAAAAGCTTAAACAAAACCTTTTTAGCTTGTTTAACAACATTAGATATATGTGCACTCCAAGATAGATTTCGAAAAAATAATACACCAAGGTATTTATATGTAGTTACACATTCCAACAATTTTCCATCATAAACCCATTTTTCATATTTTGAAAGAACACTCCCATTTTTAAAAACTACTACTTTAGTTTTATCAATATTGACTGTTAATGAATTATCTTTACAATAACATTCTAACACATTGATTCTTTTCTGGAGACCATAAACAGTATCTGCTATGAGAATGACATCATCTGCGAAAAGTAATAAAAACAATTGAACTACATCTGGATGAAATTGGATACCATGTGCGCAACTGGATTCAATATCTATGGCAAGATCATTTATGAACAAGGCAAACAAAATGGGACTAAGGACACATCCTTGACGAACTCCCTTACTGCAGCTAAACATATCAGAAAATGAGTTATTGTATTTGACCAATGCCAAAACTTGTTTATAAATTGACTGTATACAACAGAACATTTTCGGAGAAATACCATTTTTGTATAGTACCATACGCAATTTAGATCTATCTATGGAATCAAAGGCTTTGGCAAAATCAACAAACAAGGCATAAATCACACCTCGTTTCTTAGCCAAATATTTCTCTATTACTGAATATAAAACAAAAATATTATCAGTTGTGGAATATCCACTCCTAAAACCAGCCTGAGACTCTACTAGTCTATCATAGGATTCCGACCAAAACTGAAGTCTTCTGTTTAAAATAGAAATATAAAGTTTACTGAATACACTTAAAATAGTGATACCCCTATAATTAGTGGGAGAATTGGCATCGCCTTTCTTATATATGGGAACAATGTGGCCAACAGCCCAAGATGAGGGAAAATATGCAGAATCAAATATAGCATTAAAGAAGAATGTGGTTGTCGTGGTCTTGTACGTGTGAAGGCTACAGCTTACTAAGATCAGAAGAAGATGGTGCACGGTTACGCATGCTGCAGCAGTCAGTTATCCTTGTGGTAAGTTGACGACGTTTCTGTTTACACTTGGCACCGCGGCAGCAGCAGATAACTATTCCAATGCCCACCACAAGCAGCACTACCATAAATGCAACAACCCCAAACCTGCAAAATAATTGGTATACATATGGGTAGAATAACTAAATATACAATAGTGTTATTTTACAGAAAAAAGCAAACCAAATGAAATATTAACATTGTCTTATCTTTATTGTATTGTCATTACACAATGATGTATATGGTACTTTTTTTTATAAAAAAAAGGAAATGTGAGAAGTTATTGCAAGATTTGCTGTGGCCGAGGTTAATTCGATGAAGTAATATTTTCCTTTGCATATGTGTTGACATTAAACGAGTAGATATATTTGTAATGTCGAATACTATGTTAACTCATGGGTATTGTAGTTTGTTTGTTTGTTGTTTAGCGAGGCACACAGCAATATTCCAGATATATGACAGCGGTCTGTAAATAATCGAGTCCTGACCAGACAGTCCAGTGATTGATATCATGAGCATCGATCCACGCAGTTGGGATACGATGACATTCATCAACCAAGTCAGCGAGCCTGACCATCCGATCTCGCTAGTCAGCTCTTACGACAAGCGGGGTCGCGGGAGCCCCAGTCGTCTGTTGTGCAGAGTTGCGTCCCTTGGGCACGTCAGAAACCTTTGATTGTGTGTTCGAATCTCGTTTTGTTTCTAGGATAGTACCATACCCGTGCTCGTGGGTTTCACCAAAGTGGTAAACGTCTGAGACCTGCATCACTTCGGGCCTTCCTCCCACATTTAGCTGACACGCCGTGATATAACTGGAATACTGTTGAAAGCGGCGTTAAACCCTCTCACTCACTCACTTACGGCAAGCATAGTCACCTTTTATGGCAAGCACTCTCATGGTAATACATGTCCGGTGGAATCAATTTGAAGAATTATGACAAAAAGGATCTCTGAATTGATCTGGTTTTATATGTTGATTAATTGCATAAAACAATACGCGCTTGCATCCTCAAGAACATCGATTGGTAGCAAAAAGTCATAAAGAAGTGATCGTAATATTGTTCTTACAATTCAGGACTAAACGAATTCTTCTCGCCGCTGTAAGATGTGCAGTTGTTTGGCCCATCAGGGAAGTTACACGTGACTGCTTCTGCAAAAGAGAGATATTTGTAACTCGACACATGTGCTTGATGGTGCCCGTGCCCTGGTGCCCCTTCGAATTGTGTTTCAGGATTTGTCAGGACCTAAACGTCAAAGACATACTTCACTTCGGGTTTCCAATATAAAACTGTCGTGACATGATGTCGCTGTTCAAAGGTCACTCACTCAAAAGTGTATTATCTTTATCTGTAACAAACGTGGTGGTGTGAATGAGATAGCCCATACGCCACTTTAAACAGTATACCAGCAATATCACGACAGGGGGACACCAGAAATGGACGTCACACATTGTAACCATGTCGGGGATCGAACCCAGCTCTTCGGCGTGACGAAAGAACGCTTAACCCCTAGGCTACTCCCTGTAACAAACATCTTACAAGTAGCACCCATTAGGATTCTATATATGGCCTTAATGACACAGAAAGTAGAATCATTGTTTAAAAATATCGTAACTGTCGAGAATAGTAAACTCTGTAGTTCAATCGGCATGATATATTTGGTATGTCTTAAAGTAGAAAGAACATATCTATGGACGAAAATAGTGATTATGTAAAGAAGCTTACCTGTCCCTATTCCCATCTGAATCAGGAGAAGGCATTGGGCATAGTTCATGAAGAAAGCCATGTCTTAGACGGTACAAGATCAACCTGGAAAACATCGAAATCAGACATCAGGGCAACGGACATTTGCCTTTACCGTACAGAAACCGCACCCTACACAACGAGGGGTGAAAATAGATTCCAGTATACTTGCAAGGGTACGTCGTTTTACATACATACAAACAATCTCTAAATTGCCAAAACAACTAGATAATGGAATATGTACTGCATATATGTGTTTGTTTATTTGTTGTTTAACGTCACACTCATACATTGTTCAGTAAAATGACGGTGGTCTGTAAATAATCCAGTCTGGATCAGATAATCCAGTGATGGACATCATGAGCATCGATCTACACAATTGGGATACCAAGGCACCAAGCCTGACCGCCCGACGAGATCCTTAATGCGAAAGCAACGTATTATGGCCGAAAGCTTGACTGTGTGTGTTTATGTATTTATCTGAATACTCCTATTGGAATGAACACAAAAGAGAGATTTACTGTAACACACAAAACACGTGAAATAAACTGATTTGTTTACAGTGTACGCTCATGTAAAGCAAACATATCGCAAACATATTGTTGGTACTAGGGCGATCTTGCATATTTCCCGTTACCATTTGCTTCATATACACAGTGACAATCGTTGTTCTGAAAATAACATTGTGCTGGTAATCATGAAGACCAAGTATTGATTTCTACTTGGATCTCGCTAGCGAGTCCCGTGTCAGGTCTAGAGATATGTAAGATTCATTTACATGTTATGTGATCAGTTATTGATCTGACACGCAAGCAAACTACGCAGTTAGCAGAATGAATCTTACGTCAGGAAACATTTCTGAAATGGACTGAATGGATCATTCTTAAAACCGAAGGACGTTTTCGGAAAAGAATAATTCAGCCTGTCAAGGTTAAATAAAAGGGAATATAATTCATGTTTAAGCACATTTGACTATTCTTAACATCTGTTTCAGAACTCAGACTAGACGTCCAAGGAAGCGTTGTGATTTGTGAATCTGATAAGGTGACCATGTGTACGTGATCTATAATCTATTTCTTAAGAAGACAATTGCTTACCTGCAAACGGGTATACTGTGTCTGCTCTTCCTGGTGTATTGCTTGTGGAGTATTGAGATTGCCACGTCATTGCTAATTAAAGTATCCAATGAATGTTATTGATTACCACCAGTTGCTAATTACCCTCGGCCATCGTCAGCTTTTTACCCACTAAATGAAGGTATTCACCACCCATATTATTTCCGCCTTTTACTGCAAGCATGCGTTGCTCAAGACCTACTCTACTCCGGATCTCACGGGTTCATCACTCAAAGACCAACACAGAAGGGTTAAGGTGACACAGATTGAATTCAATACAGTCATCGCTTACCTCGGCTACCGCTTAAGTCACAGGCGGAAATGTTTGTTTGATTGTTGTTCAAGATATCCATGTATGAAGACGTCCTGTAAATAATCCTGTCTAAATCAGTCAATCTCGTGATCAGTGTCCATAAATATTCAACTGGGTCTGTATTGTTGACTCGCGTTGGAATACGTCCAACATATCTGTGTCACAATGCTAGTAAAATAAGCAGCGTTCCTTTGCACGCACGATTGTCACAGTGGGTTGTTCCGCACGTATGCTTGCATTTTCAACATTAAAAGCTAACAGGTGATTGTAAATGTTTACATTACAACAAGGTGCTATTGAAACACTGGAAGTGTGACAAGATAATAAGTCTGTCACATCTAGGGTGGTGAACATGTGTGTTAATATTTGAGATGATGTGTGTATTATTAATATCAAACATTCACAGAGTTCTGCCAACGCAGCGGCCTCGCGGGATCCCCGCTTACAAAAATATGAAAAAAAAATGACGCATATCTTTTGCTATCGGGGGAACACCAGGCGCAGCCAATTTCTGTGGTGAAGTTATTTTCTCACAAAATATGATAAATTAAACTTAAAGATTTGTCGCCAAGATCGTCTGTCTAAGTATGCCTACTGAATACTTCCTGGTTTTGTTAATATACGGGTCCTCTGATTGGCTGAAATAATTTTTCTGAATGCAGTAAGTTATGTCGGCCTTTTTCATTGGCTGTTGAAATCGAAAGTACATTGAGTGATAGACTGGCTTTTTCTGCCCCAGTTCGTTGGCTCTGCTGGCTACATCATATGCGCAAAAGGACAGGAAACAGTCTACATTAAGAATGTCGGTCCATTAAGCAGACGGCCGGAAGCGGCAGAGTAAGCTTTTGATTTATTTTACTGCCAAATAGGCAAAAGTTGACAGAGAACAATACTTTTCACTGTCTTCAGCAACACACGGGTCAAGTGAATCAACTGGTAACAGAATTTCAGAAACTAAATCGAACTGTACTGCTAAAACTCGGGATGAAAATCGGGACGAAAATCGGGTTAAGAATCGGGACGAAATTCGGCATGAAAATCGGGACGAAATTCGGCATGAAAATCGGGACGAAACTCACTCGCCCCCTGACTGTTCAACATGGACTCTGGCTTCGTGATTTCACTTGGTGCAGTTTAATTCGGAGACAAAAGCTATGCGCTGCAGTTTATGTTATAAACATAAGAAGACGAATTTCTTGACAGAACTGAACTTCAATTAGCGAACAAGCACCCTAAAAGGACAAACACTTACAGCGGACCATTACCGTTGAGGCGGAAAATTGGCATTTAGGTAAATCAAACATAATGCATGCAGTGCACAAAGTTTCCAGTGACAAGGATTCTGGGATAATTGTAGCACTACAGGTCGAGAACTGAATGGCAAGAGAGGACATGGCTATTACCAAATATCAAAGTTTGATGGATCTACTTTCATATCTGAACTATCCTAGTGTGGGTGAATTAAAGAGTGGAAAGACTTTAACATACCATTCGGACAAAGATGCTGTTGATACGTTTCAGTCATTGGCTCATGTTATACCCAGGCAACTGGATAATAAACTGTTGAGGTCATCCTTTGTCAGTCTGTAAGCTACTGAGAGCACATAGGTTGGCATTGAGAAGACGTTAGTTGTGTAAGCTAGGGTAAGAGATACAGAGACTTTTGTAGCATCCACACATTAAGTCGAAATCAAGTCTGCAAGTGGTAAAGGAATTGCTCAAGCACTTACTACTGGTTTGGAAGAGAAAAGTGTTCCAATAGAGAGAGTCATGGGTGTGGGCTGTGACGGGGCCAAGGTGATGACAGGTTCTGGTGAAAGTGTGACTGTCCGCCTCTCAAGAGTCAGTCTGATGCTAATTAACTTTCACTGTATAGCTCATCGTTTGGCTTTGGTCACCTCTCAAGTGGCGAATGAGAGACTTCCAGGATACCTTAACAGGATTACTTTACTACTTAAGCTTCTGCAAACAGAACAACAACGTTGGATGATGTTTAAAAGTTTAAGATGAGGTTCACTGGATGCTCTTATATCCGTCTTTGCCACAGAGAAAGACAGCAAAGCTGAGGCCTATGCCAGTTTCCCTATATGACTTCTTAGAAACCACTTAAAGGCTATTTTGTCTGTTGTGTCTCAGCTATGTCTGACTTTTCAGAAGTCTGACTTAGATGTGTTTGGTTCAGGTGTCAATATTCATGTTTACTCTAGGAGTCCACCAGTGGTGGTACATGAGTAAGACAATTCATTAAAATTATATATATATGACACAGCAGGATGGCAAGTACATAAACACAATGATTGAGTTACTTCTAAATTCGTCGATTAACTGTAACTTTGTGGAGAATAATTTTTGAAAAAAACATTAAACTCTACAGATGATACAAAATGTGTTACATTTTCTTAGAAAATATGATATGCAATAACAGTAAGTGACACTGTAGGTCATCATTTCACATTTTAAAGAAAAATAAGGACCAGTGTATTTTTTTGTATTGTTTTCGCGGGCAAGTATTATCTAGCAATTACTAAAGTAAATCAACACAATCGATTTCCACTAAAATGAATTCAGGAATACTATGAACTTCAATAATTTCTTGATGATATATATGCGTTTGGTGGTCAGTAGTGTAACAAGCTTAAATAAAGTTATTTAGCCAATTGTAATAATATTTAATAAACAAAGGGTTCGTTTATTGGACAGTGCATTTGTATCACAGAGTGTGCATAAGCGATCTTCATGAGGTATACCTGCCCATCTACCCGCCTCTATTGTAACATGTACGGAAGGAAAGTAAAGGTTGAAAAATAGTTTGAAGCAGTAGCATAGTGAGTAATTGTGGGTAGATCGAAGCAGTAGTATAGTAAGAAATTGTGGGTAGATCATTGCAAATCTGCATTTGAGGGTCTGAAGAAGGGTGAAACCTTACACAGTGTCTTCAAGGGCAACCATTGTATCAAGGGGAAACAAGACATCGATTCCATAAAGGAAAAAATCATTGATACAATTATCAAGAAACTTGATGAGAGATTCCCTGATAACGACAGGAACATCATCTATGCACTTGGTGTGCGTGGTCTGAGGCCAATATCTTTCTTCAACAAGGACGATCTCCAGTCATGGGGAAATCATCAGATTGACGTATTGATCAGTCATTTTGGGGAGGAAGAGGTGTCCGCAGTTACAGGCAAATGATTTGCACCAATTATTACTCCTGTGGCAACAAGGCAAGAGTTGAGTATTACCAAAACACTTGTCCTAAATAGAGGCTACCCAAGATGTCCTGGCTCTGGTCTCTTATCAATGAGCACCACAGGGATGATTTACCAAACCTTCTGAAAATAGTTGATCTGGCACGGACAGCCTCAGTTTACACTGAATAAATGTCAGAAACATACTTTGCGCAGTGAGCTGATGCACGAAATGTTTATGCACAATATTCACATACTCTTTTTATCACCTACGCACCAAGCTTACAAAATGCACATTCTTGCATTGCTATGTTTCATTTACAGTTTATAGAAGTACATTTTGGTCAATTTGTCATGCTTTACTCTTTATAGCTTCTGCATGTTATGAATAATACTTAAATGCTCCATCTAGCGGTGAAATCATGTTGGTTACCCTTAATCTTTGATAAGAAATGATGAAAATATTGACGATCCATTGAACCAGCACATGAAATTGTTTTACTGAGGTATGTGCTCACGAACAGTCGCATGGTACTGATCAATGAACATATGTCTTCGTGTAATCCTAATCGCATCTCTTGTCACAAGAAAGGAAAGAGCCATATAAAAACAAAGACATCAAATCCAAAACTACACGCACGAATTTCTGTAGAATTACACTGATTAAACAATGAGGTCTTGCCATACCGTCAGCACTTGTGATGCGTGAAGGTCAAGCTTGCGGTGTTTCTGTCCCAGAAGTTCTTAGCGGTGATCTCTTTGTGTATACAATGTTGCTACCATTGAACATGTTTGACAATGACCATTTAAGTAAGACGAGGGAGACTCCTTCTCAAATATATGCTTGATGGGCTATACTACAGTGAAATGTTTACTATCATGTTCAAAATTATTTGTCTAAAGTGTAGATTATTTTTGGTTTATTGGTCGAATTTCAAAAGATCTTCTATTTAATGAATACAGATGTTTATGGTTTGTTATTGCCACCAATAATATTCATGGATGTATGATAATTATTATTACAGATATGTACTCCAAGAGAAAGTCTTGTATCAGGTTGAACAATAGTTCTGTATCACAATATTTTGACTGATTCAGTGGAGTGCTCACTGATCCATTGACCGGGGTAATAAAGTGTAGTGCTATGAGCATCCACTTGGTGAATGGAATCTGGCGCATTATAAATGCACTTATTATTATCAGTAAGACAAGGCTGTGTTTTAAGTCCATCACTACTTACCATGTTTATAAATCAGTTACAATCTGAAGAATAAGGTGGACGGGGTATCTTTGTTTGCCGTGAATGTTTTTGAACGTATGGTGCTATGATATGCAAATTATCTGTATTTAATTGCTGATAGTGTTTATAAAGTGCTGCAAAAAATAAATATATTGAATCCGTTTTGACAAAAGTGGGGTTCAACTGTAAATTTTGAAAACTGATATATTATAATATTCCCTTTTAACTTTGCTTTGGCATACGGTTTGGTGCACCAATAATTATGTTACAGCTGTGATACCATTTAGTAGCAGGCTGTAAGTATCGTTACACACTATCTCTATTGTTTGTCAAGTGTGTTCATATCTGTGAATTACCCGTTTTACGAAAGACGTTGCATGTGCTTCTGGCATTTATTTGTACATGCAGTGGTAGTGGTAGAGTATCTGCCCGGAGAGCGGAAGGTCGTTGGTTCGATGCTCGGTCGCGTAATACCAATGAACGTAAAAATATGTTA